TTAGTGATAAATGGATAGATAGATGAGAGAGAGAGAGAGAGAGAGAGAGAGAGAGAGAGAGATTATCTTCATTCATTCATTGTTAGAATTTTATACATGAAGAGTGTTCCAATAACGTGGACAGATTTCAAATGTGAATTAAGTTTAAGCATCTAATCATTTTTTTTCTTTTTCTTTCAGATTTAACAACTTAAGTCTTTGGCAATTCCAACCATGGAAGGATTAACAATCAAACAACGTGTTAAAGTTATCGAAGCCTATTACGAAAAAGTGCAATAGCCGGTAAAGGCAGTGGAGAACTTGGAGAGGGGAATTAACAGGAGATAACTGATAACTGACATCCATTAAACATGGCACGTGGAACTAGAACAGTTTAACCCAGTGAGCGAAATAAAGGTTTGGCAACAAAGATGAGGACAATAATCCGAATAATGTAAATAGTGTACATAATACCTCATCTCAGAAATATAGACAGATACTGAAAGGCCGAAACGTTGTAATAAATATGGCAGTGATATTTTTTGAGGGCCAGTTCGACATTCCAAACACCTGAAGAAGGCCGGAGCGTACAAAGGCCGAAACGTTGTAATAAATATGGCGACAAAGACGAGGACAATAGTCCGAATAATGTAAATAGTGTACATAATACCTCATCTCAGAAATATAGACAGATACTGAAGGACCGAAACGTTGTAATAAATATGGCGACAAAGAAGAGGACAATACTTCGAATAATGTAAATAGTGTACATAATACCTCATCTCAGAAATATAGACAGATACTGAAGGACCGAAACGTTGTAATAAATATGGCGACAAAGAAGAGGACAATACTTCGAATAATGTAAATAGTGTACATAATACCTCATCTCAGAAATATAGACAGATACTGAAAGGCCGAAACGTTGTAACAAATATGGCGACAAAGATGAGGACAGTAGTCCGAATAATGTAAATAGTGTACATAATACCTCATCTCAGAAATATAGATAGATACTGAAGGACCGAAACGTTGTAATAAATATGGCAACAAAGATGAGGACAATACTTCGAATAATGTAAATAGTGTACATAATACCTCATCTCAGAAATATAGACAGATACTGAAGGACCGAAACGTTGTAACAAATATGGCGACAAAGATGAGGACAGTAGTCCGAATAATGTAAATAGTGTACATAATACCTCATCTCAGAAATATAGACATTATTATAGATTACTTGCAATTGCATGCGTAAGTCTCAGTATAAATAGTTATAAATAATTATTGACTGATTTTATGATTGTGATATTTTTACATTTTATCAAATAAATGGTGTTTCAATAACTTGGACTGATTTTAAATGTGAATTAAGTTTAAGCATCTAATGATTTTTTTCTTTTTCTTTCAGATTTAACAACTTAAGTCTTTGGCAATTCCAACCATGGAAGGATTAACAATCAAACAACGTGTTAAAGTTATCGAAGCCTATTGCAAAAATGGACGTTCAAACAGAAATGCATTTTGGACAACTCACGATTATTTTGGGTCAACATAATCGACCAACTGAGAAGTGCAATAGCCGGTTAAGGCAGTGGAGAATTTGGAGAGGGGAATTAACAGGAGATAACTGATAACTGACATCCATTAAACATGGCACGTGAAACTAGAACAGTTTACTCCAGTGAGCGAAATAAAGGTTTTCAGTTCGACATTCCAACCATCTGAAGAAGGCCGGAGCGAACAACAGCCGAAACATTGTAATAAATATGGCAACAAAGATAGGGACAATAGTTCGAATAATGTAAATAGTGTACATAATACCTCATCTCAGAAATATAGACAGATACTGAAGGGCCGAAACGTTGTAATAAATATGGCGACAAAGATAGGGACAATAGTTCGAATAATGTAAATAGTGTACATAATACCTCATCTCGGAAATATAGACAGATACTGAAAGGCCGAAACGTTGTAATAAATATGGCAACAAAGATGAGGACAATAATCCGAATAATGTAAATAGTGTACATAATACCTCATCTCAGAAATATAGACAGATACTGAAAGTCCGAAACGTTATAATAAATATGGCAACAAAGATGAGGACAATAGTTCGAATAATGTAAATAGTGTACATAATACCTGATCTCAGAAATATAGACAGATACTGAAGGGCCGAAACATTGTAATAAATATAGCAACAATAATGAGGACAATAGTCCGAATAATGTAAATAGTGTACATAATACATCATCTCAGAAATATAGACAGATACTGAAGGCAACAAAGAAACGTTGAATAATAAATATGGCAACAAAGATACTGAAGGGGACAATAGTTCAATAGTTCGAATAATGTAAATAGTGTACATAATACCTCATCTCAGAAATATAGACAGATACTGAAGGGCCGAAACGTTGTAATATATATGGCAACAAAGATGAGGACAATAGTTCGAATAATGTAAATAGTGTACAGAATACCTCATCTCAGAAATATATACAGATACTGAAGGACCAAAGAAACGTTGAATAATAAATATGGCGACAAAGATGAAGGAGGGTAATAAATAGTCCAAAAGAATAATGTCAATAAGTGTACATAATACCTCATCTCAGAAATATAGACAGATACTGAAGGGCCGAAACGTTGTAATAAATATGGCGACAAAGATGAGGACAATAGTTCGAATAATGTAAATAGTGTACAGAATACCTCATCTCAGAAATATAGACAGATACTGAAAGGCCGAAACGTTGTAATAAATATGGTGACAAAAATGAGGACAGTAGTCCCAATAATGTAAATAGTGTACATAATACCTCATCTCAGAAATATAGACAGATACTGAAGGACCGAAACGTTGTAATAAATATGGCGACAAAGATGAGGACAATAGTTCGAATAATGTAAATAGTGTACATAATACCTCATCTCAGAAATATAGACAGATACTGAAGGACCGAAACGTTGTAAAAAATATGGCGACAAAGATGAGGACAGTAGTCCCAATAATGTAAATAGTGTACATAATACCTCATCTCAGAAATATAGACATTATTATAGATTACTTGCAATTGCATGCGTAAGTCTCAGTATAAATAGTTATAAATAATTATTGACTGATTTTATGATTGTGATATTTTTAATTTTATCAAATAAATGGTGTTCCAATAACTTGGACTGATTTTAAATGTGAATTAAGTTTAAGCATCTAATGATTTTTTTCTTTTTCTTTCAGATTTAACAACTTAAGTCTTTGGCAATTCCAACCATGGAAGGATTAACAATCAAACAACGTGTTAAAGTTATCGAAGCCTATTGCGAAAATGGACGTTGAAATTTATAAATATACGGCCCAATGATTTCTCTAGCAAAAAAATGCACACCAAACAGTCACCTTTTGTGGATGCAGTGACTTTTCAACAATCTTCCTTGGATTTTCATCAGCCCAAATGCGACAATTCTGTTTATTACCGTATCCACTAAGTTGAAAATGGGCTTCATCATTAAAGAGGATTTTCTTTTGCGAAAAATCCTCATCGATTGTCTTTGCTCGTGCACCCAATTGAAACTATACGGCGCTCCAAATGGTCAGCAGGAGGTCAGTTCTTGTGCCAATTGAATTTTGTAAGCGTGTAGAGACAAATCTTTTTGTCAAAATTCGATGTAACGTTGTTGTAGAGAGGTTCAATTCCTGCGCGCGATGACGAATAGAGGGGTCTCGATTTTTGGCCACTTTCTCGTGCACTGCAGCAATGTTTTCAGCTGAACGGCGCAAACGAGCACGCACATCTGCCACCGACCTGTTTTTTTTTTAATTTACGAACAATTTTTCCAATTGCACTATCGGTTGGTCGATAATACTGACCAAAAATATCGCCAAGTGTGTGAAATGCATTTCTGTCTGAACCTCCATTTTCGTAATAGGCATCGATGACTCGAGACTACCTTACGGCCATATCACGTTAAAACACCGGTCCTCGTACGATCAGCGAAGTCAAGCAACGTTGAGCCTGGTCATTACCTAGATGGGTGACTGCTTGGGAATGCTGGTTGCTGTAAAGCTTGGATGTGCGGCCGGTATAAAGGGCTTACAGCCATATCACGTTGTAACAACGGTTCTCTTACGATCAGCGCAGTTAAGCAACTTCGAGCCATGTCAAAGCATAGATGGGTGACCGATTGGTAATAACGAGTGCTTTAACTTGAGATTTGAGGGTGGTATATTGGATAACGACTGGGAATTAGTAATAGGTGGGCCAAGTTCCAGTTCCAGTCGGGATCGTTATATTTGCTTACACCCAATTTATGAAAGCTATGAATCCACTGTTTCACCCTCCATCTGTGGGTTAATTGGTTGCTCTTATATCATTATTATCCACAAAGATTTCTTCTGTGATGTTAACAAACGCTCGTTGCCCCTTTTGTGATGCCAACGAATACTCGTTGTCACTTTCGTAATGCTCGTTGTAGTAGAGACTTTGTAATCGCAGATACAACTTATAGTAACGCCGTTGAACAATACTGGTGTCAGACGCCTTCGAATATCACTCGCACTAATGGGACGTGCTCGATAATAATCGCTCGAATAGTAATCCATATAGTGAAGGAAGGAAGGAAGACGAAAAGAAAAAGAAAGAAAGAAAGAAAGAAAGGAGAACGACCAGTCAATGAAAGAAAGAGAACGAAAAAAGAATGAAGACAATAGCAGTAGAAGAAAGGAAGGAAGAAAAAAAGGAAAGAAGGAAGATAGAAAGAAAAGAAAGAAAGGAAGAAAGAAAAGAAGGAAGGAAGGAAGGAAGAAATAACGGAAGAAAAAAAGAAGGAAAAAAAAAGGAAGAAAGAAAGGACGGAAGGAAGGAAGAATGAAAGAAAAGAAAAGAAAAAAAGAAAGAATGACGATTAGTAAATGAAAGAAGAGCGAAAAATCTAAGAGCGAAAGACCATTGGAAGAAAGAAAGAAAGAAAGAAAGAAAGAAAGAAAGAAATAATTAAATTTAACAACTGCGGAAAAA